CTGGGACATGTCTTATATCTGTAAGTGTTCTTCAAGTGTACTCAAAGATATGAGATTCCACTTCAGTTCTGGAACATGCCTTCAATCTGTAAGTGTTCTGATAGGCCCATCAAACATTCTGATTCTGAATGTACCAACTCCGACAATTTTGCAAGGCGCGTTGGTTTCCATTATAATTGTTTCTCTCGAAACTCCTTCATATGTTGAAAATCAATTCCTATTAGGACACATATGAAAAGTACCAGCAGAGACAAGAACCCAATCATCATATGGTTTGGCATCCATGTTAGAAATCACAAGAAGCTCTCATTCACTTTGCCCATCTTCCACAACATCAGCCTCCACTGTATTAACAGCTTGATTCTCTTTCTTAATAGCACCAGCAACTTTATTTATGTTCTTCAAGGCATAGAATTCAGCTGTAATATGACGCTTCTTCTTACAATATTGACATTCTTCTCAACATGTCTGGATTTTAATCTACCCCTCATTTTCTCCAAGATTCCGATCTTGATTTCTCCCACGCACAACCAAGCCTTCACCATGATTCTCATATCCTCCAACAAGATGCATTATCTTCTCCTTATATAGTAAAGCATCATAGACCTCTTTCACGGTGAGAGTATCCCGACTATAGAGAATAGTATCTCTAAAAGTCATATATGATGGTGGCAGAGAACATAACAACATCAACACCAAGTCCTTATCTTCATACTTAACTTCAAATGTCTTCAAATCGAAAACGATTTCTTTTGTCATAGTTAAGTGATCATCCAATGACTCACATTCAGACATCCGGTGAGAATACAAGCGTTGTTTCAAGTGTAGCTTGCTGGCAAGTTCTTTGTTATGCAAAGTTACTCCAACTTCAATCACAACATAACGACAATTCTCTCCTTTAAAACATCCTAAAATTTTTGATTTAAAAGATGTAGATGAATTTGAGATTAGGTTTTTAGATCCCTATGCTATTTTTTATCCTGTGTCCAAGTAGCAGACATCTTATCAAAGCCAAGCAAGGTAAATCTCGTGTTTCTATCCAACAACGAGATATCATACATCATTGTCGCCATGCGAAACAATCAACTTCGCTCTGATACTACTTGTTATGGAACAAAAAAGATACCAGAATTACTCTGATACCAATTGTTATGAATTTGAATCAAGTGATAATGACGATAATGAAATAAAGAAGAAGAAAATAAATATCAAGATTTACGTGGAAACCCAATAAGGGAAAAAATCACGGGCATATGAGGAGAAATCCACTATAGTCAATAGCAATTGTATTTATAAGATCTCAATGCACTCAATTTACATTTTTCGATTTGTTTTCATTAGTCAGTCCAATCTGTTACTCTCCAGGTTCTGGACGGACTTGCAAAACACGTAAAATCTCTTCAACATTGAGGCCCATTGTTGCAGCCTACTTGAACCACCAAAGTTGAAAGGTCAGGCCCAAAATCCTGTGGGACACTCACTCCGTTAATTCATAACCAATAGCCCATCTTCCATCTTTAATTGCTGCAGCTTGTTCAGCATAAATTACTTTTTAAAAAAATAATTCTCAACTCATTTTCGAGATAAGAAACTTCCTTCTTTTCGAATAATTCTCAACTTATTTTCAAGATAAGCAAATTATTCGTTTTTGAAATGTTTATAAATTATTTCAATTATAACCCTTGTTTGATCCCCATTATTTCCAAAATACTTTTTTCTCTCTTTTCAACCACATATTTTTCATTAAAATAATATTATACGCAAATTCAAAAAATTTCCTATATTTTAACCACAAGTTCTCCATCAAAATTATTTTTCACCAAAAATGGGGTTCAAATAGGCTCATAAATAGATAAAATATATGATGATTAAGTGGGTAGTTCTTGTAAATCTATAAAAATATTCGGATTAAAAATGTCTTGAATTTTTATAAACATGAACCAAACACACCAGAAAATAATTTAAGCATGTCACTAGAGCGATAGGCGGGCGACAACCCCATCACTTGACTGACAGAGCAACACCGTGAGCTACCAAGTCTCGAGTTGTTTTCTATCGACCTCGCTCAAGTGCTTAGTTAGCGCCAGGCTAGCTAAAATGCGGCGACTTTTTCCTTCGATTTATAATTTTGATCTCTTCAAGACCACTCCAATTTAGATTTCAATACCCACTAGAATTTGAGTCAAACCACAACTGGAATGATATAGATTATCGTCGCCATGAAAGAGGAAAAATGAAGGTAAGACAATTTGGAAGTTTGAGGGTTTGCTTTGTTTTTGTTTGTTTGTTGTACTGGAGAAAAAGGATAAACAGAGGCCATGGTTGCAAAAAACCAAAGCAATAAAGTGAAGTTTGAAGATATTTTGTGAACATGAATAGTGACAAACCAGTTTCAGTGTGAAATGGAGGGTACATAACTTAAAGCAGTAGTTATATATATTATAAATCGACCCCGACCCGACCCGACCAGACTTTACCAAATTCAGGTTGGAACGATTCGGGTTTTGAAAGGAAATTGTGTAAGCTAGAGTTTGTCATTATGTTTTTCTCCATGGCACCTCAACTACAGTTGTCGTACAGTGAGCTCCACAAAAAATCCAAATCTACTTTGAATTCAAACTTGTTCATCAACCCATTCAACTCTTATTTATTGGGCTTCTATTTCTCAAATTTATCTTCCATTCAGCAAGATTATCTGTATCTATGTTTAGTCGGCTTCTATTTTTCAAAAAATTAGTGGGCAAGAAACGGGCTTTACATAATGAGTTATTTTGCCGAATGTTTTTCTTACGAATAATGCTATTTAGCACCTGTGGTGTTAGAGCACCGGTATATGTAGTATGTTGATGGCATTAAATGATATATTTAATGAGTTTTTATAAAATTCATTTAATTAGATCGATCATGTGCTGTCATCTAAACTGATGTTTAGTTCCAGCGATGATGAATAGCATTACACTTTTCTTATTACTAGTTTTTTGCCCATGCAATGCACGGGTTGTGTTATTTTGAAGATGATGCTAGCATGTTCGATGTGAAGAATTAATGAGAGAAATGTAGATGAATATGTCTTGCTCATAAGTTTGTCCTAATAGCCACTTAAGTACTAATTTTTTTCTTTTGAAATATCTGGCATTTAATTTCATAACAAGAACTATGTTATTTTGCTTATCTTTGTGAATCAGAAGAATTTAAAGCTGCGATTGATGCCCATAGTTAGAGTAAAGGAGGAGTTTTCTAAAATGAGAATTGAAGTTCAGACAAAAAGACTATTATAGGTCTTGCTTGTTGCACTTAGAAGCAACTAGGTTGATGAATGAAGCAATGAGAAGCAAACACACGATTCCCCACTCTTTCATCTCTGTTTTCTCTTTAAGGTAGATTCTTTTTTAAAATAAGAAATGGCAATGCTGAATCTGGGAAATTATAAGAAATGACGTGCTTGCAAACCAATTTGATGCATTCGGATTTCACCATATGGAAAAAGTAATACCAAGAAAAAGGTTCACGCTTCCAGAAGAACATAAAATTTTTTTACATATTAAAAAATATAATTTATGACATACTTCAATTTCAACTCGTGGAGTATGTGGTGAGACTGAATGAATGCAAATAAGATCTGCACATTAAAATGTTCAGGAAATCCATACCATTGTAGTGCCTGCACATATAGCAATAACCTTCATCCTTTTCTTATTATTAAATGTCGATGCTACCCTAACAACCAACCTCCACCGAGCATTGCATTCAGATCAAATCTCCTAAAAAAATTCCCCTAACATCTCCGTAATTACACCCTCCCAACTTGATTTTTAAAGTTGTAATTTTCACTATAATTTTTCCTAAATTTTAATAAGGTCGGTGTATGTTCGGCCTAAATCTTGAAACCCTATTTATAGACTCAAGGGTCGGCTATTCTACACCCCATGGGCTGGGTACGGCCCGAAGATGTAGCAGGCCGGGCCATACCAGGCCTGTCCTAACCTTTGACACTCCTAACTCAAATTGATGCTAAGGATGGTCGACCTTATAATTAGTGATAGATTATGGTGCAGAAGGCCAGCTAATTTAGTGTTTTTTATTCTCTGTTCAGAAAATTAGGATGTGAGATAAATAAGGATTTTCATCAATTACTGTGATCCATCAATTTCATTTTCTTAATCAGTTTTAATATTACTTATGTCATATTACCACGTATTCAGATTTTAACATATCATGTAGAATAACTCAAATTTACATGAAATTTATGACAAAGAAATTGTAAAATCTTTTAAAATATTGAAGTTATTTAAACAAATTCAATGTTTAAAATAAAATAATCTACTTCGTCACAATCCATGTATTTTTAATGAATGCTTAAATATGAGAGTGGCACTAATTCAGTCTCTACAATGAACAGGGAAGAGAGGAGCCGGCCAGTAAATGGTGAAAATCAAATTGGAAATTTGGAATGACTTATTCTTTATGTGTTGTCCCTATTTGGTAGTTTCTTAGATAGTTGCCACAATAAATTATGATTGATGTTACCTTTCGAATGGCTTCTTGCTGTTTGCCAGTATAATGAGATATTAAGATTCATTAGAATTCATTTTTTTCAAAATAAATTTTAAATTATACATTCACCCAAATTTTAAAAAAAAATTGTACGGGGATTTAAAAAAATTTCTTATTTTTAACCACGCGTTCTTATAAAAAATAAAATAAATTAATTTTCACAAAATTTATTCTCAAAAATCTAATTTTATTTGGGAGTGCATATCTTAGCTCAAATTATTCTACGGGAATGACAGCCAAAAAGAAAGGAAGTTGGAAGAAAATCTGATCTTCAACAGATAAAAATAAACCAATATAATAAAAGAAATTACTCAAACTTTCATCAACAAACCCAACTACTATTGCCCAATTTAAATTTCATCAAACATAATAAACTAGGATTAATTTCATATGTATGACATACAAGTAAATTTAGGTGGGCATCAAAGATTGGAGCCCTTCTCTCTCTATCTATATCTCTCTCTAGGGGGTCTTGAAACTGGTAAATGAGATAACCTAACTATACTATCCTCTCTCACACTACATGACTTCTTACATGAAAAAACAGACACAGGTACATTCTTTTTGAACAGTCCAATCCCTTGATCAACTTCTCGACCAGTCATCTTACCTTTTCTAGTGCTCTTGGTGCACTCTTTGTAGGCCATAAGAAATGGATCTTCAATCTTTTTAAGACCCTTTCTTGAACCATTTCTTGATTGCTGTTGGAAAGCGCATGGTGGAAGTGGAATTTGCATTTCATGGAAAGAAGCCCTACCGTTTTCCGGCGGACAAGGCGGAGGCGGCAGTTTCACCGGTGCAAGACGGTGGTTCTGGTCGTCGATCCCGTATTCTTGTGGCGCCACCTTGCTTACCCCGGGCTTGTTCTCCCACGAGAAGGGGACATTTCCTTGTGAACGATCCTTTTTACTCATCTGGAATGGTAGTAAGAGGGCATGGAATTTGTTTTGATTTATACAAGGGGATTTGGTCATGTATTTTATACTTTCCAACGGCAAATTTTGCTTAGGTCAAGCAAATAAAACGTGATGAGGTGGGAATCAACTTTTCAACAAATGATATCACCAAGAAATAACATATGTATGATAAAGAAATGGGCAACAAGAATCTGACTAGATTTTGGAAGTCTAAATCATGCAAAGATGGAAAAGTATGCAAAGAAAGTCAGGGACAAGAATGGAATGGTTGACTGAGTTTAGACCATGTTTGTCTAAGCTTAAAATTAAACTAAACCCATGTATTACTCTAAATCCTTTTGTAAGTGCAATATGCAGATTTTTCTTTCTTTTGGAGCCGTTTTGGGAGGGCATGTTAAACTCACCACACATCTCATTACTAGGCAAATTGTTAAATGTCGATTCTTTTTTTTTTTTTTTT